AGGAAAATGCTCGGATGAACAGGTATGCGTAAGGATGAATGGGAAAATGCTGGGATGAACGGGTATGCGTAAGAATGAATGGGAAAATGCTGGGATGAACGGGTATGGGTAAGGATTAATAGGAAAATGCTGGGATGAACGGGTATGGGTAAGGATGAATAGGAAAATGCTGGGATGAACGGGTATGCGTAAGGATGAATAGGAAAATGGTAGGATGAACGGGTATGGGTGAGGATGAATAGGAAAATGCTAGGATGAACAGGTATGCGAAAGGATGAATAGGAAAATGCTAGGATGAACAGATATGCGTAAGGATGAATAGGAAAATGCTGGGATGAACGGGTATGGGTGTGGATGAATAGGAAAATGGTGGGATGAACGGGTATGGGTGAGGATGAATAGGAAAATGCTAGGATGAACAGGTATGCGTGAGGATGAATAGGAAAATGCTAGGATGAACAGGTATGCGTAAGGATGAATAGGAAAATGCTGGGATGAACGGGTATGGGTAAGGATGAATAGGAAAATGCTGGGATGAACAGGTATGCGTAAGGATGAATGGGAAAATGCTGGGATGAACGGGTATGCGTAAGAATGAATGGGAAAATGCTGGGATGAACGGGTATGGGTAAGGATGAATAGGAAAATGCTGGGATGAACAGGTATGCGTAAGGATGAATGGGAAAAGGCTAGGATGAACAGGTATGCGTAAGGAGGTTCATCAGAGGTTGTGCATTTGATGGACCACATGTGATGTCTGTACCTATGGTCCTATGGTGCTACTGTATTACCATTAATAATAACATGCGTCATGCATATGTAATGTACTCATTTGCATGCTTGTGACTTCTTACATGCGGCCGCTACCGACCAGACTCAAAGAACCTGGTTTGGGGTGAAGCAGCTCACAAACAGGATTTAACTCCATTACATTGTATGCAGAGTCATCCATTTTACTGTATTTTCTCCAGAAATTAAAAAAAAAGCATCTCTACACCCTTTTAAGGTCCCTGTCTTAGGAGGGTCTTAAACATAAAAGGCCACAAAAAAACTACCTTTAGGCTACTACTCTGTAATACCTCTGTAACACGTGTAGTTTTACTTAAATGGTAGTTTTACTTAACAACAAATCTTCCTGTAATAGTTTATCAGTTTTGTACTCCTTCCCTGTAGATGCTGCATCCAACGTACAAGTCAAAGTGTGAAGATTTCCACAAGCTTTTTAAGCATTTGCCTGAGACAGAAAGATTACTTGTAGGTAGGTAATATCCTTCACAAATCCTGCACGAAAGTGTGGAAATATTGTTTTTATCATTGCATTTCCCTTCTCGATACCGTGTATACATGTAGTGATGTTGTCCGAACCCACTGCCGGGACAGTTAACTGACACATTGTTCTCATCTGTCTGTTCTAGACTACTCCTGTGCCCTGCAGAAGGACATCCTTGTCCATGGCAGACTTTATCTCACAGAAAACTGGGTCTGCTTTTATGCCAACATCTTTAGATGGGAAACTTTGGTGAGTATAGGCATGAAATGTTACCACGATACACTACTGTAAACAGAACATTAGAAATGGCAGGACAGGGCAGGCCTTTAGTGTCTCCTCCATTAGGAAGGCCAGTGGGCCAGTGAGGAAGATACCTTAAGTTTTCATCCCTGGGTACAAAGAGCAATATTCAAGATGAGAAGAAATTGTGGTAATGGACACACAAAAGTGGGATCCAGAGTTGGTCATATCTGTACTCCCAGACATTTTTTGGATAGAGTAACTAACCCTTTAACCTTTGTCGCATTGAGTTGTTTCTTACCAATTCTCTATTGGTTTAGGCTAGGCAGCAGGAATATGGTTAACAGTGGTCCTGATTAAAATCTAAGTGGTTTGTTTTGTAAACCACAAGCAGCACAAATGGTTACAGGTACTTTTGTGATGGGCAATTTAATGTGATGAGAGATGGGTTGTGAAGAAGGTAGTCCTGTTACCTGATGGCAAGCTCACAGAAATACAACAAACAGCTCAAGTTGCCACAGCTGTGTTTTCATCCCTTGATTCCTGATTTTCTGTTGCATGGTTGATGAGCCAATTTCAGGAAGTCTTTGATTCATCCAATTAGCCTTAATCTCACATGGCAGGAAATGAAAATATTGCATCTCAGGAAAGAAAGTTGTTGTAACATATAGGATTGTAAAATTTCTGATCATTTGAATGAAAGACTGTGTGCCTTACATTTGGTTTCTGAAGAGTAGCCACAACATCCCCTTATCAACTGAAGAAGCCAAAACATTTTGTTGTTTGGTATGAATTCGTGAAATCTTCTGTTTTTACAAATATTGCTACTTATTTGTGAAATGAATGTTACAGGCACAACACTCTATTTTTGGAGTTTCATTGTTTGGTCATATTTGTGGATCGTGTTATTTAATGAACCATTTGTTTATTGTGGGAAGTTGTCGAAAGAACAGAACTTGCTGTCCATCCCCACACAGATCTTACAAAGTCCCAGCTGGCTCCTTCACCTGATGTCTGTCTCAATCTCACTCAGTATCACCAAACTGTCACGTAAAAGATAGGTCCTCTGACGTACTACACCGGACTTAAGGACAAAAAGGCTTGCTTGTCGCTAGACATTACGACATTGTGGCAGTTAGCTCTTAAGTTAACGCACATTCCATGGACTTCAGTTTTTCTTGTGTAACTTTCTGGCCACATCACAGTACGTGGTCCAGACGGGACCTGCTCACTTTGCCAAGCGTCTGTCTGGCATTTGACTCTGAGAAAAAATGTTTTCATTTCCCAAAATAATGCCATTGCTGAGACCTAAGTTACCTGTAGTTGGATGTGCATCTCTGGCCCTGTTTGGATGTAAAGCATGGGTAGGTACTAGTACCAATTTCTTTAACATTGCTGTAATCACATGACTTCTTTCCAATTTCAGGTCTGAATTCCCAATCTGATCCAACAGTATGACTATAATGGCTCATGTACATGTATGTGCCCCAACATTGCCACAACCTGAACTCTAACCCTTTTCTAAAGGTGAAATTTGTCAGTTGGGAATTCCAGTACCAATGCAATTTGTATGGATGAGTTACTTCTAATACAGTGAGAGACCCGCCAACTATCCATTGGCAATTTTTTTGTAGATGAGCTGTCTGCCTTCAGTCTCCTCTTTCCTTTGACTGACATCATTAGAAGTGAAGTAGCTCAGTCTAATCCCTACAATGCAAATACATGTAAATATACTACCGGTATCCAAGCAAAATCATTGCACGTTGAAAGGTACCACAAAGTCAGAAGCTGTGCTGTTTACAGTTTTGTGTGTATCAGGAGTTCAGTAGGCAAAAGTTGTACTACGGTAACGTGACCAAGAGAACAAAGTGGAGCAGCGTGAGAGTGATAACATGTACGACCATGAAGGAGGCCTGATGCGTTGGTACCTGACCTTGCCTGTTGTTCCCTCCCCACAGCTGACAATCAGATGTAAGGACATCACCTCTATCACCAAGGAGAAAACTGCCAAGGTCATACCCAACGCCATCCAGATATGCACCGAAAATGAGAAGGTAGGGGTCTCATTACATTTTTGTAAACTTAAGGTTTTTCTTAACTTTAAAATGAAAATTCTTAGAATTGACTCAAACAAAATTTAATCCTCTAGACTTTCAAAGAACAATATTTACCATGCATGAAAAAAATTTAGTATCAGGTAATCTCTATATTAAAATTTACTCATGGAGCAAATTAATGGTTCCATTTGTGGATACATAACTAAGAACTTTCACATTTTGTATTTATAACATAACTGTTTGTAAAAAATCAAACTTTTGGTCCAGGAAAGTCATGCAAAATATAGTTGTTTGTTTGAAGATGGACCAGTGATAGGGGAGCGATTATAATGCATGTGGCCTCTCTGTTGTAGACAGCCCCCTCTAACTGCATCTCTGTAACCAGCAGCCTAGAGCATACAGGAATAAATAGAGCCCAAGACATCCCATTCAAAGATATACAGTCATTAGTAGAATGTTAAGCTCCTAGCATGCTGAGCTGGCTATGCATCACTCAAGTAGTTTTGATCTGGCTATAGGAACAAACTGCAGTAAACTACTAGTATAGTGTAAAGTGAAACTGACATGGAGGCTTCTGGTTTTCAGCATTTCCTGACATCCTTCACCCAGCGAGACAGTGTGTACATGATGATCTTCAGGATTTGGCAGAATGCCCTACTGGAAAAGGTCAGTCAGTCTGTAGTCTCACATTCAGTTAATATCTCTGAGATGTCTACTTTCAGTTCTGATATTTTCAAAGGATTAGAAATGTGATAAATTAAACAATATAGGAGTACCGGTATGTGGTCCTGTCTATATAAGTCTAAGGTGCTGTACATGTACATGTAGTTTGTGGATGAGAATGTTCTTTAAAATCTTCTTCATATATGACACTTGTACAGACAAATCCAGATGCATCTGTGAAAATTTCATGTAGAGAGTGAAAAGATATTTGGGAACTTGATAGAACAACTACTGTATTTTTGTAATGGTGCACCCTGTCCTCTTCCTCACTCTCCAACCTTTGTTCTGCTGCTTGGCACTGGGCATAGTCTGTCAGTCATGTTCAGCAAAATTCAATCAAACTTTAAGGGAGTTCTTAAAGTTGTACATGTAGTTTGTGTAGTCAAAAACTTGTACACAATAACAACACACTGTAAGATGCTATAAAATGATAATAACTCATGCTATCCTCCTGCTGGCATCTGTCTGCCTCGTAAATCAAATCTTTACTGTGAATTCAAAGTGATTAACAATCTTGAATGAAATAATGTGGACAACAACCTTGAGTTTTTATTTGTGTTCCCATTGGTCATCCTCAGCCACTCAGCCCCTCCGAACTGTGGCAGTACTTCAAACTGACCAATGGGGAGATGGACTTCAGTAGTGAGGAGGAGGACTCAGCAACAGACAGTAAGAGCACAGGTAACTAGCTGAGCTTCCCACATTCACCTGTCCTCTCTGTCTCTTACACAGCCACTCAGTCCCTCCGAACTCTGGCAGTATGTTCACCAGAGTTACGGGGAGGAGCTAGGCTTAACTAGCGATGATGAGGATTACATCTACCCTTCTGCAGCAGAAAATGAGAATGACATCATGGAAGAATCGGGCGCTGGTGCCAAGGATGACAATGACGTCACAGGTTGGAATGAGACACCTGTTTCAGTGCAGAATCTTGGTGCAGGACTCTTTTTGTATCCATAGCATTTTCCTTTTATAATTAAGCAAAAATAAAGATCACAGTTGAAGGGAATGGGAAGATGGTCAGGTAAGAGGACATTTTTTTCACTCTTGAAGATCTGGAACCATGTTCATTTCTCCTACATACAGCATGACAGTACATCCAGAACTAGCCTTGTACATCTCATATTGGTTACATCTTGGCTACTTAACAAAATGTTTTTTTTTTCTGCTGTCATTTTATAGAGGTTGTCACAGATCAAGAATTTCCTCTCTTTGACTGTTCGAGTTTGGTGACTGCCATGTCTGACAATTTTCTTTAAGTCTTGTAAACCATACTGGTAAATTGTGATAGCACTACTGTACATATGTCAATGTTCTCTGTAATGATAGTTTGAATTGTGTTGCTCATTTTATTACACTATCTCCACTGATGCGTTCAACTATTTCAGAAACAGTGTTACTGGTACATGTTACTTTGGTCATACCAATGCACCTTTACTTTGAGCATTTTCCTTAGGTAGCCTTTGTAACTCCTCTATCTTCTTCAACAGAGGACTTGAGTGCAAAGAAAGGAGAGGGTAGCACTGGGAGCAGGACTCCACAGAGATCAGCTAGCCCCATCCCCAGCCCTGCCAGCAGCGAGCCCTCACGCCTCAGCTCCGTGGAGTCACCTATGGTCAGTCCTACATTACATGCCTTGTTATTTACACAAGTCTTATGACACCTGCCCCACCTAGCAGGGATAATGTGAATTGCAGTACCTCTTACAATATTTCAAACCAGGTTGCTCTTACTAGTCTTAGACCCCAATTGAGTGAATCACTGCTTATTGGCATGTATGTATGTTTACATCTCATCTGTCTGTCTGCCTGCTTGAGTGTACTTCTGACCTATTTGAAAAGCCATCTAATATGTGTGATGATAATTCATCATCACAAATTCAGTGTGTCAAGTAGTAATTCTTCCTAACTGAAAAATTACTTTTTAGGGTCTCCTGTATTATTTTTTGCAACATAATTGTTATTAAACTGCATCAGCCTTTGTCCGTTACTGGGTAGCACCCTACTCATGCAACAGTCCAAGTATAGGAAGAAACCTCTCAGAGAGCTTGTATAAAATCTCATTTCTCTATCAATGGGTTAGATGCTGTAGTTATTTATGTGCTGCCTGGGGCTAGTATCGTGCCTGTTTTTTATGGAACCTACTGTAATACACCCCCAGAGCAGAAAGGGTACTTTGGCTGTCTGAAGTCAGGACAGAGTGGGATACCTGTGGGATAGCTGATCCCTGTAGGTTACACTCTGCAGCATCTCTTCTTTTTATCACATTTAGTTGTTTTAGTTGTCCCTGTATCTATTTATTATAAAGGTAATCCTGATGCTGTTGTTCAAAATCATATCAAAAAAATTTTGATTTAAGGTACTGACTACACTTCTACAGTACTATACATACTGGTAGATTATCATTTTGCCCAATTTTATTTACTACTCAACTGGCAACCAAATTGAAAAAAAATATATTTATTAGATACTAAAAATTACTAATTAGCATGAAGGATACTGCACTACCAGCACTTCATGAATAATTGATGAACATTAATTTGTTAATGTAATAGAATGTTATTTTTTACTTTGGACCGGATGTGTGCTTGTGTGAAAAAAAAACAAAACTCATGTATCATTGCCCACACAATCCATTTCACCTTTGCCAATCTGCTGGTGCATGTTCTTGTTTTCAATAGATATGTGTCCTAGTTCTGGTGGGAACAGCTGCCACCACTGCTAATCTATCACATATAATGGATGGGAAACCTCATCAAAATGTAATCTCCAACCCAATGCATGTTGTGGCTTTGCAATGCCTTTATGGTGTATTGTTATTTGCCATTTTGCTTCACCTTTCTGAGACATTGTGTCTGTCTCCTTTGCCAGCATTTTGTGCTAATCCTAGAACTCCAAACATGAACAGGAAGAATAGAAATACCATAACAGAACCTTGATGTATCCCAGATGATTATACTGCTTTTCCATCAGAATTTCTGGTCTTATCATCTCTAGATTGAATATGACTTTGGTGTGTTACCAATGTGTACACACCCGCCTTTCCCCAAAGGCCACATTAATACCATTCCTTGTTTCTCAGACTTAACAACGTAAACCAAACATGAGTCTTCTGAAATGAATTAAGTAGAGTTTGCACTCTAAGCTGTAGACTTGTAGAGTAGATTAGAGTCTGCATAGTTACGGTACATCAATATGGGAGCTGCAGAGCTGTTTTAAGCCTGGTTGGTTATCTTTATGCTTGTTTTATCATGATTGTTACCCTCATTTGTTGTACATCACCTGTCTCTTGTAGTGACTGTGTTGCCTTAGAGGGAGATATAAGATTCTTGTCATGTACGTGATGATGATCATGTTGACAACTCTCATCGCAGTGCCATCCGCCAATCACAATATAAAGGTCAGGGTATTCAAATATTCATAATAGACCCCGCGTTCTGGTCTCCCAATGGGCCTGTCAGAGCTGTCTAGATACGCCAACCCCATTTCTCCTGACGTTAATGACAAGGTCGAGCAAGGCACCAGCTTCCTCAACTACATGAAACAAGAAATCTTGGTACAGTACACTTCTTATTTTGTCTTTGTATGAGTGATGTTTGACAGATCCATCAAGTGTTATTTGGTTTATTGGATTTGGCTTGTATATGTTTCAACTGCAGTATATGAATCAAGAATCGTGAGGGGGGTCCCTCTATTGATCAGTTAATGACATAGTGTGCCTGAGGTAAAGATGCTGTATGTTTATTACTGTCCCTCAGAGGAAAAGTGTGCTGCTGTGATTTGTGGCCCCAGAGGTTTGGAGATGGGGGTACCTAATTGTTGAGACAGGATCGATCCCCTGGCAAAGTGGACAATATATGATGTCATCTGCATATGAATGGAAAATTCCCATGCCATTGTTCGATATATCAGGGTCAGCGTTTCAGCTGGTTAGGTGGAGCAGGGCCAGCAGCTTTAGTGGGAATGTTGACAATGACAAGTTCTGCTTGTCTAAAGCCTTGAGGAGTTAAGGTCTTGTTGGGTTCAGAATGGACATTTCCTTGGCTTCATTTAAGAACCACTGCAGTCTCTTCTCAGTGATGGACATGGACAAGGTTGTGGAGGTACTGTTGGGTCACCAGGACATTACCTTTCTGTTCACATGCATTAATATTTTAGTCAGAATGCATCTCTGAAGTTGTACTTAATAATTGTTCTACTTATGTGTGACTGTCGCCTGTATTTCATGATTTTATTTTCATGCTGATTTCATTTGTATATTTCCTTGGTTATTAATCAGCCTGTAACCAAGAATGGCTTCAGTCAGTGGTTTGATAGATAGTGGAAATATTGGTGAAAAACATGACATTGTATTTTTTTAAAGTAATGAAACCTCAAACTTTGTCTTTCCCACTCAAAAAACAGGGTTTCTTTTTTGTTCTGATATTGTTCTAGAATACTTCTGTTCCATAACATGGTATTGTTAGCACATTATAAACCAGATTTATCCAGTTCACTTCAGGCCACCTGTCCTCTGGGTGCACAAAACAGATTATGGTATTTCATTTTGTAATTACAGCAGAAAGCCTAGTCTCTGTGGAAATATCTATTTAATGTATGTCATTGGGGTCAATGCTAACAGTTTTCATTGATCTGTCATCTTCCTATTTTTCCGTAGACTGGCTGCAAGCCTGGGTAAAAGGTCTAGCAATCCAGGGAATGCAGAATGGCTCAGAGTGATGTTTATCCGATTTTATGATCATTGCACAAACAAAAATTACATTTTGATCAGTTCCCAGAAAGCCATTTCAGAATGATGTCACTTTCAGCATGTGGGTCTAATGTGGAAATTGTTGCCTGAGGACAAAATAGCACTTAGTGCTAGCGCAGGGTTTGATTTTCATGTACGTGACTTGCCTGCCATTTTATGTTGTCAACGGGCAGGCAGTGTTTGTCATGTAAGGTTAGAACACGATGTCGTGTCCAGATGGAAACATCAGAGCTCACAACACTTCCATCCAATAACTGTCATTAGGATGACTTATAGACATTGTTTCGTGATGACAACAGTACTATCTGTGTCACACAACACTCTTCTGAATCTCCCTGGATTAATTCAATGATTTATGCAACATTTAAAAGGTCATCTTGTCATTGCAGAGTACATTTGTAAATACATCACAGACACAATTGTTCATCTGTGTACATGTAATAACATGCATGCACAGATTTAGCAAAGTTGTCATTTTTCATACAGATATTTTGATTGCTAGAATTTGTCATTAGGCAGACTGTTTAATGAATGCTAATTTTGATTGCTGCCTAGATCAGGGTTTTATAGGACAATATAACTGTTGAGAAGATGAAGGATATTTGCTTACATCCACAGTCATTCCTCATTCAGTCATCCCTCCTGGTGCCTCAGCATCTGAGCCTGCACCTCACTTCTTCTCAGGTTCATTCCTGCATTCAGATTGATGGAATGCTACCTTTTGTGATATTATTGGTTTTCTATCACTTATGATAAATTAACAATTTTAGTTATCAATAAAGAAGTGTTGTAGGCCATACCAAAGTTTTCGTCCCTTCTTTTCACTTCCTTACTTTTCTTCCATTTTCCACCACATACAAAATTGTGCCTTTCCATAGCACCTATTAACCTGAGTGTGTCCATGGTTTCTCCTGCCAGAGTGATGATCCTCCCAGTCTGCCGGTCGGTCGTTCCTCACCCACCACCCCACAGAGCACCTCTGAGCAGGCCGACATTTCTCAGGCAGACACCGTAGCCGACGAAACCCTCCCTCAGGACTCCATGAAGGACGACTACATATCAACTGAGGAGAGCGATACATCAGAGACGGAGGATGATGATGTTGGTAGGTACACTATAGACGTCTGTGCCAACATTTAAGACCAAAAGTGCAGTGTTGCCCTTAATTGTTTGGCTTAAACTAGTATAAACCTCTGTGATGAGTAATGATTTCAGGCCCTTTTCTCTGATTCTCAGTAAAGTTATATCACAGTCATAATTACTGAGGCCAGTGTTGTTCAACTGTGAGCTCTGCTCTTGATCCTCATGGATTTGTGTCTTGTCTGAAGTGTAGAAGCCAATCAGTGTTGATTGTGCAGCAGCCTAGCTAGTGGTGCGTAGTTTGTCTGATTGCCTCTGAGACGCATACACAAAGATGACTCATAAAATAACCTTCCATGTCAACCTTCATCAAAGACGTCCTTGGCATCCTGAAGGTCAAATATCTAAATTTGTTTGACATGAGTAAGTTAGTTTTCTTGTGTCAGTATTTCTTTAATGTAATTTCATGCATGGGTGGGCTGTACCACTTATACATACTTCCCCAAGATGGGGATTTTTCATGAGGATGACAAATGTGTTGTACTAAGTTGCCTTTTGGCAAAGGACTACATTGCTTGTAGTACTACGTGTCTTAAACAGCTTTGTCCATTTTAAAACAAGTATATCCTGATAAAATCAACTGCACCTGGGGGACCCTTCTTAAGACTAAAACCATCATCCGTCAAAATGAGCTGAAGGAACTGTCGATCTGTAAAGATATAGAAAGCCTTCATCTTCAGGCAGGGATTAAAGAACACAATTTCAGAAGGATGTAGGTCAATTATTGTTGTTACCTTAGAAGTTTTTGAGTGTGGGTATGTAGATGTGTGCCTGCTAAGGTCACACCAATTCAATTTTTTATCAAATTGGTTCTCAGATTTGAAACAGTAAATCATAAAAGGGGAGTAAATATAGCCAGATTGTGTGTATTTATCTAGTTCTTGGCATATGTCATTGTGTTGAAATGTCTGAGAATGCAGAAAATAAATTGATGTGTCCCAATGATTAATCATGTTATCCAAACATTGATCTCTGTCATCTGCCCTGCCCAGGAGAGGTGGTGTGCCCTTACAATGACCTTGTGGGCAGGAAGTGCATCAATGAGGTTTACAACATTCCTGTGGACAAACTGTACGAGATGCTCTTCAGTCAGGAGTCCGACTTCTTCCAGGAGTTCCATGCCTCCAGAAAAACATTTGGTATTCAAACTTCTCTACATGTCAAACTATTTTCTCTTTTTGCATGTACATGTACGTGGATGTATTGTCCTCAGACCAATAAAATTAGTGTACTATATTGTAACTCTATGTGGTATTGCTTGTTTTTCGTGTGTCATTTTGATTGGATGTGTTGAAATGACTGTACCTTGTCCATCCCCAGACATGGTGATTGGACCATGGCAGGACAGAGAAGATGGGGACCAAACCAGACAACTGACCTACACCCTCACTCTCAACGCTTCCTTTGGACCAAAAACATCTGCCTCCACAGAAACACAGGTAGCCTGAAGTTGTCGTTTTACACCTAATGACAGGAGATTTTCACAGTAAATTACTTATCATAAGTATGGGATTTTGATGTTTCAAAGCCATGAAGGACTTTTTGCACTGAGAATAATTTTGCATGAGCTGTCAGTATGTCTACACATATCCCTGTGAATTGCATTAAGCCTTGAACTGTGTGACATTTTCTGAGCAGATCTCTCATGACATGAAGCCCGGGCTGTTCTACGTGGTGGACTGTGAGATTGTCAACGGTGGGATTCCATACGGGGAAAACTTTTACGTCCTGAACAGATACTGCCTTAACAGAGTTACTAGCTATCAAAGTAGACTCAGGTAAGGCTGCGTTTGGTTTTGCCATTGCTGCCACCTCTTGACTCAAAATGGTGTTGTTAGTGCCCTCTCTGTACATCATAAACCAAGGTGAAGTACATGTATGCTGCTAGGTGAGCAACATTGATGGAAGATATCAATGAAACTGAAACAGTTGCAATTTTGACCTCCAAGGCATTCTATTTCAGAAATTACATTTCTTTGTTCCAACTTTCCAGACATTGAAATTAAGATAGTTTAGATCCTTTTTTTTTAGTTCAGATCACTGATCCTTTTTTCCTCCTTAACTCAGGGTAAGCAGTGAAATCAAGTACAGAAAAACTGTTTGGGGCCTGGTCAAGAATATCATAGAAAAGAATGCTGGCCATGGCATTCAGGAAAACTTTAAGCATTTAGGTAAGTTTCACTTCTGTTCTGTTGCAAATATGATTCAGATCTAAACTTCAACATGAGCATCTTTCCTGTACAATGCAGATATAATTCTATCATGCCATTCCCTCCTCAACTTGTTGTGTCCCACTGTGGGGTAAGAAACAAGTCCTTGTGTTGTATGGGGTAAATGTTGATGATATTTTATTCTCTAGTGCAAACTAGAGGGTGCAATAGGCCAAGCTAAATGTTTTTTTCCCCATCCATCCAGGTCGGCATTTAGACAAAGTGTCTGATGCATGCCAACCACCGACACCTAGAAAAAACAAGGGCCTGGCCAGCAGCGTACGGCGGAGAAAACGAGCGTCCAGCTACACTTACCAGCCACGCCCACCGGAGATCTCCATCACAGGCCCACAGTCTGCAGCTGCACCCAACCCCAGTCTGGCCAGCATGGCACCAACCCTCACCAGAGGTAAGTCTGGGCAGGGTGACCTACAGTAAATAAGCACTGTTCCCAGACCGTTGTACTCGATCCTGGACCACTCCTTGGAGTGCTGGCCGTGTTATCAGAACCGATTCATTGTTCAGGAGAACCAAAAACAGCTATTTGATATCATGGACCACAGAATAATGCACTTGGGAATCTTCCAGTTCTTCGTTCCATCTTGAGGATTGCTAATATTTTACCAGAAGATCAGTCAGACAGAAAAGGTTACTCATGTGTTGTTTTCTTAGTCCGTAAGCTCAGCCGCACTGACAGTCCTCACAGAAGTGCAGGCAGGACAGGAGAGAATGATTCCTACAGGAGCCTGCAGGGCAGGACAGCAGGTGCAGATTTTAGCTTTAGCAAAGAAATGGGAACATGACAATTTTACCCTAATTAGCACTGATTAGAAATCAATCTTGGTTTTATTTGTAACACAGTGAATAAAGTTAGATGCATGTAAATAGAAATGAGATACGATTTGTAGAATAAGATTCTACATAGAAAACCCAAAGCATATCCATAGGCTAAAACAGGTCCAGGAAACTATAGTTACAGACCGGGTAACAAAACAATGATTATCATAAATAGTCAAAAGCAAATACATTGTACCTATGTTGCCCTAAATCAGGTCAGAATAGGATAAGAGTCACAACCAAATGTTTGTGTTTGTGTTTCGGACTGGTTACTAAAGTAAACGTTTTATGTTGTCGTCAAGCTATCTAGTTAGGCCGGATGATCTGCTCATACTGCAGTAAACCCAAGGCACTTGATTAGTAGTGTGAACAAAAAATTGTGGATTTACATTGTACATGTATGTGGGTCTGTCAATGGTTTAAAACAGTGCAAATCACTTCTGTAAGGTTTAGAAAATTTTGCTTTTGCCTGACTTGTCCCAATTGATGTTTTTGAATGGATGATTCCTATTGTTATTAACTACCAGTTATTGAACCCTGATTAAACAACAGTAATTGTTTACATTGCAGCAGAGACCCGGGAGGACCTCAGCCCCAGCCAACCATGGCCCATAGATGTGGATGCACACAAGTGTCTCCTGGCTATCTGTATCATGTAAGTGGTAAAGACTATATTTTGGCTCTAAATGCAATATGTGTTGCAGCCTTCTATAGTCAAGCAGAAACAGATTTGCCCAAATATGCTGCACAGCTGACAATGGTAAAATTGTGTGTTGCTACCATAGTGTACATAGAATGATTGTGTAGTTTGATATTTTTAACACCTAGCCAGTGTGGTTTTCACCTAAACAAACACTAGACATCTTGACTTTACTTATACTATAACTATAACACCTGTTTCTCTGCAGTCTGGTGTGCTTGTTACTGCTGAACCTGCTGGTGATGTACAGAGTCTGGTCGTTAGAACGTGCCACCAGCAGTCTGCAGCCGTGGCCTGCTAAAGATGTCAGCTGGGACAGGTGAGTTCTGTGTCCTGCACTATACACCACTAGGTGAGATGGAATGAGAGACTCTGCTGTGTCATGAAACTGTCAAAAAATAAGGAGAGACTTACCTTACATAATCCCATCCCTATTCTGTAGATTCCTCCAGACCTCCTTGTCCTCTCCTCCATGTATGCAGTCAGCAAGAGACCTCTTTGTCAAGTCCTGGACATCTTCAGTCCCCATGTCTGCATTATAATAATAATAAATGTTTTTTATTGTCCAAACAGTACCCGTGCAGTCGCAGCCTTTATACGGCTGAATTGATGCAGGGTATCACATAATAATCAATACAAATCACAACAATTACAACATTCAAATAATACAAATGATACACATATTTGTTCCACAATTATTTTTGTGGAACTGTCGCAAGGGTCTGTGCGGCTGCCATTCGGCGCCACAAGGTGACCTCAATACGACTTTCCCCAACCGAAGTTAGGTACCCATTCACACCTGGGTGGAGTGAGGAAATTCGTGTAAAGTGCCTTTCCCAATTATTTATAATATAAAATTAATGTCTCTGATATTGTGTCACATTGTAGTCAGCAACATACATGTATGTCATCAGTAAATGTCCTTACTGTGTACTAATGCCTGTGTGTGCTGTACTCAGTACCACCCCGAGGAGTCCGGAGGAGTGGATCCAGCTCCTTCAGCAGCAGCAGCAGTTCCACGAGGCGGAGCTGCGCAGGTGGCGCGAGGTGCTGGCCACGTCCGTCACGTTGTTAGATCAGGTACAACAACAGACATAGCCTACTGTGCTTTTAACTGTGCACGCTCATGTTATTGATAGAAACAGCTAACAACTATAAGTGACTTTGCGAGGTATTGGCTGTTGAGAAGTCATGGGTAGGCAAAGTATTGTTTATGATTGTTATGTTTGCCAGGGTACCCGTTTATGTACAGGTGTGTAGGTACAAACTTGTAATTCACACCTGCCTTGTTGTAAACCTTTCCTCAGTATACTGTAGATGACAAGTTGGTCACTGTTGTTGGCCACCTTAGTACATATGTCAATATGAAGTATTTGAGATACATGTACTTCGTTTATTCAATTGCTTGGGATGATCACTAGCAGTTCTGAGGATCATTTTTTTTTGTACAGGTAGTACACCAGGAGGCCATGTGCAAAACAGACGAGCCAAGAAATAACTAGACCCTTTTCCCTTGTTCCAGATGCGAGCCTCTTTATCAGGACTCTCTCATGACGTCAAGACAAAAGTAGACAATCCTGTGACAGCTGAATCCCCTGCACACAGCGATGACTTCTAACACACAGGGAGACTCTTCAGCTTGCTGCCATCTTTTAAAATACAAGTGTTCAGAGCTGACATCATAGTTTACACAATGTTGTATCATTGGGACTCTGGAAAGTCCCACAGCTTCATTAAAAGTTTGTCCGGATTTGGCAAGTTGTGAATAAAATAGTATTTTTGCCATAATATCCTAGTTGATTCCTGACTGGATGTGTCTGGATGTGACAAGTACAATATAGGTGCTGGTCAAGACTTGCCCCCTCTCCAGTGAAGCTAACTCTCCTGGCCCACATCAGAGCTCATGTTGTTTGATAAAACTCACTGAAAGAGAGAGATCAAAGTTGGAGAAATACAGTATGAAATTCTTGTGAAGTTAGTTTTATGGAGGATATACTGTACATGTACATCTCCTGCATCAATCCCACCTGTATCGTACCATGTGCCCTGCCTGGAACACAGATAGGAGACTGGTGCCCACCAGGCTTGAGGGCACATAGTCACATCTTATAACCTGGAACTGTACGCCAAGCTGTCTGCCATCTCAGATAATTCTTAGGTAGATCAGCTGTGGCAATCTGATAGATGCTGCTGAGAGGGTCCTTCTGGTTTATTGCCATTCATCAGAGATGTAAATATTGATACCGAGATTACATTTTGTCTATTGCACTTGTATAGTAACTAAACGTTTGAAATGCTGCAATGTTTGAACTTTCAATCTGCATGTCTGTTTAAAGATATTGTGTGTACATGTACTGTATGTCAGGGAGAAGACTTTCTTAGGAAAACTTTCCTGGTCACCACCTGTGACCTATGACCTGTTCAAGGTCTTCACCTACAAACCCAAATATGAGACACAATGTCATCATATACTGAATACTCATACTTCTGTGTACTGCCTCTTCACTGATGTAAAGTTGAGACATCTGTTGATAGTTTCATCAGGTTGGTAGATCATGAGATATAATATTACCTTCAGGTTAATTAGGTCATGTTACCAACTTTCAGACCTTCTGTACCCTGTGTGTATTTCATGATATAAAAACTTCCTGACTGTTATGTTGTAGAGTAGCAATGTTGTGTTGTGGAGTTGCTGCATGTTATGATGATGCCTGCTGTTGTGAGCTGGCTTACCTATTATATGTTCTGCACCAGCGTATGCTGATGACCAATATATGTGTGTGACTGTGTTTACATGGACTTCTCATCTGTGATGTGTGTGTAATAGTTTGTACTGATATCCTTGATTTTCAATGGTATTCATCTCTATTTGTCATAATGTATTCACAGTGATATGTGTGTTTTTTTCTGCTTCACATTCACCCCTAAACTGTAAGTTGTTATGTTTGTGTTTACACGCTGTGTGTGTTTACACTAATGCTGACTATATGTGTATGTGTACATTTACACACTATGTGTGTTTACAGTTATGTCTTCTCCATAATCTGTGACTTGTGCCAATTGTAGGTTGTCCACATTACTTGTCTTAAGTGACAGAAGTTTACTAGGAACATACATGTATGTCTTGGTTTGGTTGTTCTGTTCAGAATATTTAAGGTTTCTGTGCAAGTAGAAGTCACAGACGTTGCACATTTGTATGGAAAGAAAGTAGAAACTGTATATGTACAGACACTGTATGTAATATATAAACTACTAGACTAAGTACTCCTAATCATTCCTTCAGCACAGGTGCTGTTAAGAATGCCTCACCTATCTCTGTATGTTTTGGAAGAAGAGTAGAAATACCACCATATAGTGCAATTAGTATATAATAGACATGATAGGCTTTTTCAGAAGTTTAGATGTAGTGACAGTTGGTTCATGTCTAAGCAGTAGTTGACAGAAGTGGACAAAATTTAGACCATCTCCACAAAACTGAACACCGACATGGTGTTCTGGTCAAAAGGTAGAGCTGTGCTTGAATAAGGTTGTGTTGTAGATTACCTTAGTTGTTTTTTTTAGTAAACCAGATGGCATTTAACTTAGCCTGTGCATTTATCTGAAACTGTAGATACGTTTTCAGAATGCCAACACAGAAAGTGCAATATTACTGTATTAGTTGTGATAATGGGATGTCAAGCAAGAGAGACTAAATTTGTTTTTGTTTCACAAAATCTGTACTCTCATTAGAAGGTCCTGGTAATAAACACAAGTGTTGTTGAGGATCCAAGTAAACAAGACTACCCATCATTTTCTCTATCTTCTCAGAATTTGTTGAAATATTATAAGAATGAAAAGTAACAAATGAATATTGGTAGTTAAAATAATGAGTACTTCTTAAGCCTCTTGTGAATACATGTTAGTGTATACAATGTACCACTTCGAGGGTACAAATTCTCACATTTTAGTCAGAAAACCTTGCTGTCAGCCATGGGAACATGAAGAACTACACCAACACTTCATATTCTGTCCAGATTCCATGGTATATATATGACAGATTGTTTACAAAAGACTGTGTTGTAATTGTGGATATGTATACATTATATCTGCTAGGCATTTGAACCTGTCTAAAAATGGTTTCGTATGTCTCCAGTAGAATGTCATGACCAGTCTTTCCCCTTATACATGTAGAAGTAAACCTGCACATCCCTTTCACATGACATGTGCACAAGTGGTTGATGTCTTAATTTGTGCATCCTATAATAGTCCAAGTGTCTGTGTAATGGCACTTCTAAAGTTTGATATATAAGATCTAGATTTTGGTATGATGTGTTGAGCTGGCCACACAAGGGACATGCTGCTAACGTACAGAGTGGATTGGAGTTAGACCATTTTAAGGGTTGCGAAAACTACATGTACAGCACTAAAAGTCTTTTATGTTAAATTAACGTAGTGACATGAAATGTAGAATTAGGTTTCATTGAAAGAAAAACTATAATTGAAGATTTGATAAGACGACAGTAGACATCAACAAGAGGAAGAAAAACTGATTTTCACATTCGTAACATTTAGGTCTAAGAAAGAAGCAATGAAATTAATAGAATTGTGAATATTTTAGATACAAAATTGTATGATCATATTCTTACTCATCCAGATAATGCATGGATGCCTGTGAGAGTGATTGTGGTAGTCCCAGCCTTCGGTTCATTCTTCTTGTACAGCCGTGTCTGTCATGTGCTTTGATTTCAGATTTTAAAGGAAAAAAGTCGTGTATTGATGTTATAGCTGTCTTTGCACCCCAAGATGACAACACTAGTAAGATGAATAATTATGGAGAATAAAAGACTACAACGCCCAGCATTGTCTACCATGTTATCTTTTTTAATACTTGAAACACCTTAGCAAACGCCCCCAGCACCGCATCAAGGTGCACCTCCATTGCTGAGGAAATTTGGGACGTCATCATGCCCAGAATATCATCAATCTCCTCCATAAAAGGTATCTATGAAACAGCACAAAACTCAGGGTCCGACACGATTGCAGCAGACCAGAAAATGCTAGTATATATAGGGGAAATACAAATTCTAGACACTGCGGTGTCGGAAAATATTATTGTTCGTTTGATGCCTCTTTCCCTTTACGATATGCCTTGCATGAACAATGAACGAAATGCATGAGTAATGAACAAAACGAACATCTGAGACGCTCCCCAACAGAGCCGCTCTAACTGGTCGGACGGGTGTGTCCTAGCAAAGAAGGGCTGACCCCAGACTTCTGTTTTGATGTGACCCGTACATTTTTTGGACGGAACTTTTTCATTTTCGCTCGTCAGCGTCAATCGTTCATTAGACCAAGGTTAACCTCATTGATTAGACACAACACCGTGATTGCAGTGAGTATTATAACTTTCTATGGGGCCATTGATTAAGGTGAGTGGAAATTTAAGATAGCTGCACGGAGCCGGTGACACCCACCACGTCACCAAAACACGGGTTACCGTATGTGATTAGTTTGTATCGTACCTGCAATTGCAGTGTTGTTATAGAGTTTGGGGGCATGTGAATGTACATGTAATGTGTTGAGGAGTATGCACAAAATGAACCTAAAACCTTATCTTACATAATTCGTGGAGACGTCGGCCTGAAATAACTGATTTACATTGTATGTCCACATAGTCAGTGGCCAGGATTCTGATGTTGGAGAAGTCCGACTCAGGAGGGCTGGTGTCTTCGGGTGATCACTAAATGATATTAGCCTACGAGTACACCTTCCCAACACGGTCCATGACATGTCTCCTCCGACCAATGTTTGGATAATGTGAACCTGGAGGCCTCTATGTACCGTGAAAGCAGGTCAGAGCTAGATATTTTACTTCCGTTTTACTCCCTGTAGATATAACGTTGTATTGCAAAAGAAGTGTGGCAGTAAGAGGGTCTATATTGGTGTATTCTGTTGTCCAACATGTGCCTCTGAGTTCGAAAGTCAGGACTGCAGCAGCAGTGTTTATGATCAGTGATATTTGGATCGGGGACACAACCTGGGTAACCATGACTACTCATATTTTCTACCGTTATTATTGCATTGCATTCGACTGAACTCGCGTGACTAATAGGCGCGAATATACAGTAAGGGACAAAGTCAATAAGACAAAACCAATCTTACAATACTAAAGGTCCACACACCTTTGACAGATATCAAATCAAACGCTCCAAGAATGATTGAATTCTTAACATATCTCTATCACTAGTTACAATGGTCTGCAACTTCATGGACAGTCTTGCTTTGTCCGTTTTGCATCAGCTATAACGTTAGTAGCTATATTTGCTTTTGTGTTATATCTTGTTTTAGTGGCGACAAAATAATTGTATTAAGTATTATGATTTGGAACTGATTTCAGGCCTATTCTTTGCTGTAAGTTATTTACTTGAATGTCTCAGTGTTCATTTTGTTCTTTATTTTTAAGGCTGGGTTCCTCTCCCTCTCCTATGGCGTTACGACTAACCAAGCGGCGATGTGCGACGTCCCTGCTTCTTGCATTGGCGGCAATACTGGTGATTTGGATCGGCAGAAACTTTTCCAGTGCCCTTTCCTCCGCAGAGTATGATTATTTACCTAAAGCTGCTGTTAGAATAGAACATAAGGGAAGACGGCCACGTGATGCCGGCCTCCATCTGGACGACAATCTCCTCGTTAACGGCAGCGCTGTCTACATCTACAAGAACAGGACCACGGGGAAGTGGGGAACGCTCCCTGTGACGTCACCGATACTCAGTGTGAACTTTACTGTCAACCTGACGGAACTTCAGGAGGCGTTTTCGTCCCCATGGCAGCCGCAGCCAGCCAACCTGAGGAGAATACAGTACGTCATTCGTCTTTTCATCCCTTAATTTAGATAGAATACACCGGAAATGAGAGACGTCATCGCAAAAAGCACATGTGCACATTGTGTTAACCGTGGCATATGTGTGTTAACACTAAAGTCTATCATGTACATTTGTAATGCGTCTCTGTGTGTTACAGAGCCGATCTGGAGAGGTGCTGCTCCGCACGGCGCATGGCCGTCCTGACACAAGAGAACACTAAGCCAGACCAGTACATCCCCAGTGCCTTCCCTAACCTCACCGAATACATCAGTCCCGAGTACCACAGAACCTTTCCTAAGGTGAACCGTTTAGTCTTACTTACGTCATGATGGCATCAGACTCTTGAAATTGTCTGGTTGTCACACTCTACAAATGTTGTGCTATGACATCGCATTTACTGGTGTACGCGTACAAGTTTTACTTTCTATGTCGATTTTAATATTGACAAAGTGCGCTTTGTCCACCATTCATTTGCGTACTCAGAACGTCATATTGAATGATAAGATGAAATGTTGACGATTCTGTGTGCAGAAGTCGCCGTTCTCGGAGAAGCGGTACGGGCGCTGTGCTGTGGTCGGGAACGGCGGGATACTGCGGGACAGCAAGTGTTCGTCGGAGATCGACTCCGCAGACTTCGTCTTCAGGTCAGGCGGAGAAACAGGTTTTTTGAACGTTTAGTTAAAGTATCTAATGATTTGGCCACATGCCTTTTGATTTTCGAACGAGGTGGAGTTGGTATGTTTTTCTCTTGATACAAATAGCATAAGTATCTGGTAAGCAATGTGCAGTATTGTAGAAATGCCTGTACTACGATATTGCAACATGTATATGATGACGTTCGTTGAAACGGCTTCATGCGGGTAATGTCTTTGCTAGTAACTAGTTATGTCTAGAAATTTTAACCCTTTGTACCAAACTGATATGAAGACACGTAGGTTCTTTAACAAATGGACGGATAGAGACAAACTTTTTGTCGTTCTAACGTTACACGTGTCGTTCTAATGTTCCAGATGCAACCTTCCACCGTTGACAGTAGACAAGTACACTCCGTGGGTCGGAGTCAAGACAAACTTCACCACTGCGCCCATGTCCATGCTCAAAAAGTGAGTTTTCCTCGTTACTTAAATTACCTTTCAAAATTGATCCGTGTAAAGCTTATGGAAAGGAATTCCTGACAGTGTTAGCTGCCTCACACACTCGTTATCTCTTTCCATGTGCATAGAAAATTGAAGTGAACAATGCAACATGGAAATGGCCTGCAATTTTTGAAAGACGTACGATGTAACACTGTAACACCACGAAGAGTTGATATTTTATATCGGGTTTTGTGTATCATGTATTGCACAAACCCCGCCAGCACTAAATCAAGTGAAAACGCAGTTACTTGTAGCAACATATGTGTTGCAGATATCGTCACATGGACGAGAGTGAGGAGGACTTGGAGCGGTTCGTTAGGGACACCATGCAGTACAGCGGCTTCCTCTGCATCAAGAGACCGTCAAGTGAGCAACAGACATGTGCACATGACGCTTGTCATAACACTTATCAATTCCTTCATTCAACAAGTCTGAATTTTTGACGGGTATGAAATACTTGTCTTTTCCAGGCACAATCATGTGCATACATGTTTCTATGTGCGTTGTTGATGTCTGTTGCAAACGTGTTGAGGCTTATGTGCTTTATGGCTGCTTTTCTCTCCATCAGACTACAGCACAGCAGGATATAAAGAGTTACAGAGAAGGAGAGGAGACAGTTTGGCCGTCCTGTACGAGAACCCACAGCACTTCCTGGCCGTCACGCAGTACTGGATGGAGCACGGGATTCCACGAAAGGCAACAACAGGTACCACATCAGTCTCCATGCAGATTAGGATTAATGATTTGTCAAGGGAATTAGCCGACAAGAGGGCACGTTGGCTTCAATGCAGTTGCTGATCTAATATCATTTTTCACAAATTTCCGACGGTTTTCAGACACTTACCGAGTTTGTGGGGGCCAGACTGCAGTTTTCTATGTGTCATGGCGGTCTGCTTATGGTAGTCATGCTGTGAGAAGAATGTGTGTCAATTCATGTCGTCATAGTGCGTCAAGTTCACGTGATACCCTTACCTCTGCAGGCCTGTACCTAGTCACCACGGCCCTAACCATGTGCGATCACGTGGACGTGTACGGGTTCTGGCCCTTCCCGTTCGGCGGCTGGGGACAGAAGATCCGCTACCACTACTTCTATGCGGCCATCTTTGTAGCGCCTTACGCACACGAGATGCCCTCGGAGTTTATCAAAATGGTAGAAATGCATAGACAGGGGATAATGAAAGTTCACATCGACAAGTGTGGAAATTAAGTGTTTATGCGTTAATCGTATATCTAATTTACAGCGCTTTGTTGTTTTCAATGTTTTGTTTAATAATTTCCCGATGCTTGATCAATGACACAAATTAGACGTACTGGTGACATATTGTAAGCCTAAGAATCAATTCCTGTATGTCGAAGCTATGCACTACCGACGTTACATATGATGATAATAAAATTACACTGTAACAACATACCTTTAGACTGACCATATGGTAATAAAATTACACTGTAACAACATACCTTTAGCTAGACTGACCATATGGTAATAAAATTACACTGTAACAACATACCTTTAGACTGACCATATGGTAATAAAAGTACACTGTACCAACATACCTTTAGACTGACCACGGTTATCTATTGCTATTTATTGTTGTCATTGTACATCTCTCAACATGAGGTTCAGGTACGTTTGCAACTTTCTTTCTGGTCAATCAATATTCATATCTATTTCGGTTTTTTTTCTTTGTACCTGATCCTGACAGGAGAAGGTATCAAGTATGCAGATAATTTAATTAGCGTTAATTCTTGGAATTTTTGGCTCACTTTATTAAATCCAGTAATGGCAGCAACCGCGGGATGGCGCTGGGTGTTTGCGGCAATCATTTTGTAAAGTTGTCTCTGCAATTCTTTTCTTGAACGGCAGATGTCGCTGTAATCGTCTATATCAATACCTTGAAGCATCTTCTAAGAAACTTTCTTCTGATATTCATGCTTTTTCACATTTAGGCGCTTTTAGACGTATCATTACATTTTCATGACTATTTGACATTGAATAATTCTTTAACAGCGTCTTGATAGTTAAGTGGTAAGTATTCTATGGATGATAAATCCTATTTTCTTATATCCAATAGAGTCTATAACATTACTAACGTCAACTTCCCTTCAAATTACTAATACGATACGACACACTGGAAGTCTGTGCTGAAATCACAATTATCTGTGCATGACCTGCACATTCACTACGTCTATTCCAGCGAAGGGGCCACTTGTGCTTTTCACGTGCACAAGTCACCTGTTTGTGGAAAACCAACAAAACAATGGCGTAAGACATATAACAGTCGCAACATTTATTGCGGACTATTAGTGTTAGGCGGCAATTTATGTCCTTACAGCAAAAAGGAAGACCTGGAAAGTTTAGATCCTGTGACTCAGTATCTGCGCTTGAGTCATCAGTACTCGTTCGCGCTCCTCGCGGAGAAAGCGGTTTTAACAGTAGCAAAACATACCGCTTGTTTAGTGAAGGTCCGCTTCACTAAGAAAGAAGGAATGCGTGACCGCAGTGAACTTTGATCTGTACCCGGCGGATCCGCCCCAAACAAAGGGCTAGCTGGCTCCCAGTGTGGCTGAGGAAAACACGCGACATTCGCACGCTTTCGACAGTAGTAACAGTCCATCTTTTAGGACGATTTTCCGGATGAATACGGGTGTAAGGATGACCTGACAATTTGGGTGTAGCAGGGCGTATCCCCGCGTAACGACGGCGAGGGCCACCACCTGTTAAGCCATTGAGTCACACAGTCTGCTGTTCCGTTAAAAGAGCATCCTCCCTTGGAAAAACTCAATACCTCACATGCCCGGTGTGAAGGCGTGCAGCGTCAAATAAATGCAATTTCTCGACGATGTTTCGTAAAAGACCCAAGGTGCAGGAAAAAAAGAAGCGATACATAACGCCACCGTTACTTGGGACACAACAACGGAAACATTATGATATAATTTAAAAACGCAACTTGGCGAAGCGCTTAGGTGTACTACCGATAGATCTAGATCCAGTAGCTAAGAAATTTAGACAAAGTGATACTATTGTGTCAAGAAGCTATCTATATCAGTATATCTTGGTGTCTGCTGTTGCCATTTGACCACAAACATTGAGAAAATTGAACATGTATACAAGCTGTGCATGTTCGCTTAATTGATTTCATCGGCCTTCACAAAGCGCAAGGGATGACATATGGTGATGGTGTAACATGTGAGGGACATCCATTATGTATACTGTGTCTCTGAAATGGTAACAGTTACGGAGAATTGAAACGGAGTGTCACTGCTTTATTATAGCGTTATACTTATCCGCTACAAGGGAGGGCTTCCATTCAACAGAAGAGCGATAGCGGTACAGGGTCCCGCTCCGGAACGAGGCTTCGTGAATGGATTTATTTGCATTTGAATAGCGCTACTCAAATATTACACAAAGGTACACAGGAACCCGAGAAGCACGGTTTAAACTTACTAACGCTGCCAGATTCTTGGATATCTGCTGATAGATTGTCCACTTCAGTGTTGTTTTAGAAATAGTCACATCAACGATTAACTTTGGGGGAACTTCCAGAGCTGTCAGCTCCGACCGGACAGGTGCGAATACGGGGAGAAAGTTTGTGAGGACCAGGAGGATTTTACGAGTACCTATACGGATACAGTCCTGGCGATAGTTTGTTTTCGTTTGTACTTATCCATGAGAAGGACTTCGTGGCGAGTTTTCGAGGGAAGGCGGGATTAGGAAAGTCGGCGTGAGAGTTGAAGGAGGGAAATCCAGGTGTGCGTGGATAATCCTTTTTTCCGCCAAGCCGTGGCGGAACAGGTGTCTGCTTAGCGGTCCCTGCATCTCATCCTAATCAAGATGGCGTGCTCTCTCGTCAAAACATAACGGTCCACTACCCGACACCATGGGGAGGACTATCAGGCTTCCCCGGGGGACTATGATAGCCCCTGTTCTTGTTTTGCTAACGTTACATGTCTGGAGCTGCTATTCACAGGGGTTCTTCCCGAGGCTGGAAAATGTGGGGAAGAACAAGCCCATCTCATCGGACCCTTCGCGGGCGACTTGTGGGCTTGCGGGACGTTCCTCGCACTGTAGACCACTGGGCATGGAGGCGTTGCAGCGTTGTCCCGTTCAGGACGGCTGTATGCAGGAGTGTCCTAGGAGAACAGCTACTCCAGCCCCTACGGACCTGCTGACCGCCCCGGGAGCGTGCATCACCCAGGACACCAGCGATGTGCGCCCGGGAGCGCAGCCCGGATCCCCCGCCTACATAGTCAGGGACAGCCCGCCTTGCTTCGCCTCGCCCCCCTCCCCACCCAGGCTTGGAGCGAACGGCGACTTTACACTTAGTGTCTGGCTGAAATTACAGGACAGCAATAGACCAGGGTAAGTCATAGGTCGTTTATTCTCTCGGTTAATTTCGATTTGTTACAATTATAATACTCTCGCCGCGTGGCCACCATTTTGTCAGCATCCTCTCTCCCACACGCACGCACCATTTCCCTCATCAGCATTAGCCTCACACTATGGAGACTAGCCTGCCCCACCTACTAGCCACTCTAAACAAAAAAAAATACAAGGTCACCCTGCGTATAACCTCATTTTCAACAGGACTAGTAAATTGACAGGACCCTTATGTCTATAAATGTGTCATGGTGAGTGTCATGGTGTGCACTGGGGGGAGGTTGCTATGGCAACATGATGCTACAGGATTAAATGTCTAAGATTTAGCAGATAGACTTCAGCCCTGTACTGGCATACTGCCATCAGAGGCAGAAAGGCCTCAATATCCACATGGGTAGTTGTAGATTTGATGAAAGCCTGCCTGTCATTCTCAGGACAATCAACAGATGACCAATCAGCTGTGAAATTACCCTCAATAATTGATGGGCGAG